GCACAATATATGACAATAAAATTGCAGATAAAAGCTCAAATGGCTAAGTAATAGCTATGGCAAACCGTCTAACTCATTTTATCACTATGACTCAATAAGCTATTAGCATATTTGAAGCTTAATTATATTATTATCATGAGCTAATTAGGCCATCAAAATCATAGAAATCATGGAGCAAATAAAGCAAGTATATGACTATAAATTTACAATAAATTTTGTATGGCAATATAACCCTTATGTCAAATCATTAAGTTATAACCCTAGGCATGCTCCTAAATTATAAATATAAATTATCGAGTAGTAGTAGAATTAATTTGAACATGGGTAGCAACTTCACATAATTCGACAAAGCACAATTCAAGTCAACAAATACCTGATACGGTCCAAAACCTTTTACGCATATACACTCATCACCTCACATATATGTGGCTCCTAAATCATAAATCAAACAACAATCAAGTTACCTATGAGGAGAATTCCCTCTTACAAGGATATACAAGAGACTTACATCCGGCCAACAACCTCATATCAAGCAAATGTCTAACTATCTAAATTCAACTCCAACTGACCCAAATATAGTAAAAAAAATAACTCAATAATATCAAATAAAGACATTGAAAATAATCTCAAATAATAAAGTTTCGATCTTATACAAATAAACAAAGTCAACAAAAAAGTCAAATCAGGACCGTACCCCCAAAACCCGAAAAAACTCATAAATCCCGAATACCCATTCCAACACGAGTCCAAATATATAAGTTTTGATCCAAAACCGACTTTAACCCGGAGCTCAAATCTCAATTATCCACTTTCCAAAAGTTTTGCCAAAACCCCCCAATTATTACTTTAAAATCCAAGCTCTTAGGTGTAGAAATTTATGGAGAATAATGATATAAAGTCAAATCAAAGTGAAAATTGCTTACCTCAAGTATTAGTGAACTTGCTCTCCAAAGTCTCCACCTCTCGAAGCCTAGGGTTTAAAATATGAGTGAATGGGAAAAATTTTGAAATTATATCTTTAAATGCTATGCCCAATTATACACTTCGCGATTGCAGGACTCGCACCGCGATCGCGAAGGCCAAATTCTTGACCAATTGCTTCCCCTCCTTCTTGAACGCGAAACCCTTTTGTGAACGCGATGTCCGACCACCTGCTGAGACTACGCGAACGCGAGCCTATCTTCACGAATGTGAAGGCATTCCTTCCCCTGGCATCACTCCTTTGCGAATGTGTCCTCCTCACGCGATCGCACTGCTTCTGCTCCCTGCTCTCCGCGGACGTGATACCTCCTTCGCGAATGCAAAGAGGAAAATCCTTCTGCTCCCTCTTCTCCACGATCGCTAGACTAGTTCCGTGATCGCGAAGCACTTCAATACATCAGAAAACCAGCAATCCAAGACAAAGAAGAATTGATCCGAAACCACTCGGAAACACACTCGAGCCCCCCAGTCGGTATCCCATCCAATCACACTAACCAGTCCCAATACCTTATCCAAACTTGTCCGAATGTTCAAAACACCACGACTAACATCAAAACCAAGAATCGATGATCAAAATACATGTTAAGCTTCTCTTAAGTTAATCATATTCCAAACTTCAAACTAAATGCTCAGTTCAAGCCTAACCAATCCGGATGACAGAATAGTTCGGGACCCACCCCCCCGAACCTGACAACGTTTGTTTAGTTCTCCCTTAAACTTCACGTGGTCTTTAATACCCCTTTGAACTTGACAATTTCAAAGTCTCGAGCCCCCTCTATGCTGACAATCCATGAAAGTATGACACACGTGCTGCCGTATGAATTTTTTTTTGTCTATGTGAAATGTTTTTACAATAAAATATACTATATTTTTATATTTTTAAGTCCATCAACTATCTAGATAATTTTCTCGTGCCAAAATCTGTAAAAAAATAAAAATAAAACAATGTTATTTTTATTATAATTTTTATTTGGCTAAAAATAATGACATTTTAATCAAGTTACTTATATATATATTTGGCCAGGAAAAGAAGAAATACACAGTTATAATATATTATCATTGCATCTAAAAGAATACGTTCTTGGAACTTCATGTATTGGCTAAATGAATATTTTAGCTAAAATAGTAAATTCCGACCAAATATTTGCGAATAATTGAATCAAAAAAGAAAAAATGCATAGTTTAAATAAATAGTCATTGCATCAAATAAACATAAAAATGCACAATATTTTTTCTTTTTGTAGAAAATACACCATTTGAACTTTATTACTTTGGCTAAATCTTCTTTTTATTTGGCTAAAATAAATGGAGTTTTAACTAACTTTTGTAGATTTGGAAGCGAAAAAAATGAGAAATATAAAGTTAAAACATATATTCGTTGTATCTAAAAAATACGATTGAGATAAAATATGTAATGTATATTAAAAAGAAACAAACGAAAATACAATTTGAACAAATAAATTATTATATTTGATTATGTAGCAATTAATATTTAAAAAATACCCCACCTGAAAGGCTGATTTTTTTATTTTTATCCCTCCCACGCGCCTAAAAGAGAGCTATTCACACTCTTTGCCACATCAACATCGGGGTGGGGTGGGGGGTGGAGAGGGTCAAGACTATCAAATTTTCAAGAGTATTAAAGCCACGTGAAGTTTATGCGGGAACTAAACAAAAGTTGCCAAGTTTAGGGAGTCCCGAACATTTTTGCCGAATCCGAGTTAAACCCAAATTTGAACACAAATCCAAATTCAACTTATTTCAACTTCCGAAACTAAAATTCAAACCCAATAGCCTCAAAGTCAACTCCCGGTCAAACCTATGAACATTCAAAACCTTCAAATTTCTAACTTCTGCCAAATAGAGCCAAATCAACCTTGGAATCCCCAAATCCAAATTTGAACCTACGCCCAAGACCAAAATTACCATATGAACTTATTGGCACTCAAATCACCAATCCGAGGCTATTACATAAAAGTCAAACTCTGATCAGCTCTTATAATTTAAGCTTCCAAAAGGAGACTAAGTGTTTCAAATCCTTCTCAAACCTTCTCGTAACCAAATCAATCATCCCGGCAAGTCATAAAACAAGAAACACATATACAAGAAGCATCAAATAAGGAAACGCGATTCAAATACGCAGAACGACAGGCCAGCTTGTTATAGTTATTCTACCCTTAAACTGCATCAATCGTACATTCTATAGTCATAATATGTTGTAAAAATTCTAATTTTAATAGTAAAAGCAACAGTGATTACCTTCTTGAAGAAACTCTAGTTCTTCACCTCTTGCATTCTAAGAGATGATCTAAGGGTTTCAAGATGAATTCTTCTTCGAATCTATGTTGGGAATAATAATCCAGCTATAGTCGTATTGAAAGCTCACCTTGGGCGTTGGGGAATAATCTTGGGTCAGTATCTTCTTGAAAGGAATAAATTTTAACTCTTTGAGGTGTTAAGAATGAGGAAATCACATTTTTGTGGCCTTTTATATGCCTGGGATAATCCGTTCCCACGGTTGGAATCTGTGGCCACGGTTGGTCCGGTCCCTCAGACCTTCCTTGGACGCCACATTCTGGAATTTACCACGATTGAACTGTGTCCACGTCGGCCCCCACAGTTTGAACCGTTGGCCACTGTTGGCTCGAGGGTCAGGTTGCTACACTGCTGCACTTTAGTAAAAAGGTTATAACTTTTTATAGTAATGTCGAAATGACAAACGATTTGAAGTTTTGGAAACTATACTCAGAAAGCTTTTGTTTGATATATAGCTCTTAGCTCAATTCGTCATAAGCGGGAAGATATGGTCGTTTAAAATTAGATCTTATGCAACCAAGATTGCCTTCTCCCCTTAAACATCTTCAGTTGGTTCCGTACCACCTCTCTCCCCTTCTCCTAATACCTTCCAAGAATGAGATTTAGGTGTTATACATGTTCAAAATTTTTCAAACACCCTTGTGCTACCTTAGTGCCTGAATGAGGATGAAACAAATAGCGAATTTTTTTTGGAGGCATTACACTATAGTCGGGGATTGAGTCCCCTGAATAACATAATTTTTCAAACAAACTGGAAATCACTGTGTAGTGAATTAATTTCATCTATCTGCCTTGCTCGACGGACTCAAAATCTTCAGAAGTGGCGACTAATGTTTGCCTAAGTCTAGTTTTTATACCTATCATATGGGTGCCAATCTTCATATTGCCTACTCCACGAAGCATGCACACATCTACTACTATCTTCGCATGTATGAATCTGCAAGACTGCAATAGCTTTCTAATAACTTAAGCGAAGGGAATTTTCTTGTCCTCTTTTCTTCGAGATAGGTGCAAACCAAAATTGAAGGGTTTTAACGTAGTAAGCTAATAAACTGACCTTATTACCAGAAAAAGGGAGGTAAAGAAAAGTTGTTAGGCGTAATCCCAGTGCAAAGTAACTGTCATCACCCTGTATTTTAAACCCAAGAAAATAATTAGATAACAATAATGTCTTCCAAAAGGAAAACCTCTTGCGATAATGATGCACATACACCTCTCTTTCTTCCTTATTTTTTGTTGAAGAAATTACATGAACCTTTTTATGGTACCGATTCCGCTAATGAGGTTGTAGAATCTTGTAATAGGGAGATACTTGTCCATAGGACTCACCAATGAACACACGTGACAATAACAACAACCCAGTCTATTCCCACAAGTGAGGTCTAGAGAGGGTAGGATGTACGCAACCTTACCTTGGAAGGACAGAGAGACGGTTTCTGGTAAACCCTCGGCTAAAGAATGGAAGGAGCACTGATAGCAAGTAATAACAATACATGATATTTAGAACACTAAATCCAAAATAGCAAAAGAGAAGATGAAAGAAGTACTGATAGCAAGTAATAACAATGCAAGATATATGGTGATAGCAAACTAAGGGAGTACTGATGGCAATGAACACGTGTGAGTCATCATAAAAATTTAAACCCCTCCCTTCAATGCCCAAGGTTTCAAACAAAAAGGAAAAACGAAAAGGAAGCTAAAAATACCCCAAGCAGGATATATAAGATGAAAGGATGAATCGCAACCAGCATCTTCAATAACAAAGTGAAGTATTTTTAATACATAGATATTCAGCAAAAATGATTCGTCTGATGTAAATAATTACGAGGGAGCCTTTCAATGCATGTCTTGTTCGTTATCAGTCAGTGGAGCTGTGGAAGGTGATGCAGAACTCAGTGTACAAACAGTATTTGAAGAAAGAATACTGAAAGTATACTAATACCTTGTGACATCTTCAGAAAACCAACAATAACACCCACATAAAAGCTGTGGCCATTATCTGAACTGGTGATAGCTTACAGTTTATCTGGCTGCTATTAGCATCATCATTGGCAGATTGTGATGGTGCTAATATATGGCAGTCCAGACCTTGTTTAGTACCTGTGCAGATACTGGCAAAAAGACCAGGTGGGTACTTCCCGCGGAGATTGATGTAGCTAAACATGGTGGTGGAGCAATCATTTGACAAATCATTCAAAAGATCAGCAAAAGGACAAGCAAACTGTACAAAAGCATCACAGCATTGTTTGGCTGGGAATTGGGGTCCTTTGCATTGGCTAGTGATGACTCTGTAGTTCTGAAACTCAAAGCTAACAGGACAAGCTGCATAGAGTATTGATGCAAAATATGCTTCAGCAATTCTTAAGAGGATTTAAGCAAACTCAGAGCATCTTCTAAGTCAATTTATAAATTGAAACATCAGTATATTACAAAATGCAATAACTCTATACATCTAACAATAACCAATACATGAATTGCAGTTAAATATTTCGGGCAGCTCAAACGAACCATGTTTGTTATTCCACCAGTACTCATGTTAATAGCTTGTTCCCTGAAGTCGCTTATCTTTATTCTTAATTCCCTTGTCCAAAGATAATTCTGGACTATGTTGCACGGACTCTCTAAAAATGTTGCCACACCCGTGTCGGATCCTCCAAATATGCACTACTTTTGGAGGATTCGACGCGCACCCGGCACCATTTTTGCAGAGTCCGAGTGACATAGATTCTGGATTGTCTTCTCTCCAATCCAACCACCAAAAGATATCTTTTAAGAGAAAGTAAGCTAAAACAATTGTCTTCTCTCTATCATGACATAACCATAGTCATTCTTAGGTTTTTGGAAATTGGACAATATTTAATTGAAGTTGAAAAAAGAGAGTATTTCAAGTTGAAGTTGGAACAAAAGAGAGTTATGTTTAGGACTTTCTTCAGAACATCCTGTACCACAATTCAAATCATATCTTATAAACAAGTTACATAACTAACTTCAACCCAGACGTCATGCAGTCCTAGATGATATTTCAACTGCATAGAGATGCAACTACAATGCAATATTATCAAATGAACAGCACTTGCTCCATTTACAATGATCTGAGAATGGTCATACATTTCCACCTTAAGCATCTTTGAGAATAATTTAACCAGATAAGTAGATTGAAAAGAAAAGAAAAGAAAACTTGAACTCGACAGTCCACGGAACTGAGCTCCACCAAAGCAAATTTTGTGAATTAGAAGTAAAATAAAAACCGATGAGTGCAATTCACCATTGCCTGAAATCATCATATCCGTATATTCTTGAGTTCAAAAGACCTCATTCCGCAATCAAACGAGATGGGGAGTTATAAAGAAATCAAAGCATTTGAAGATCGTCACTTGATTGTTCATAGCCATTCTTAAAATAAATGAAGACATTAGGATTTGCTTACAGATTTTGATATGCACATGTAGGAAAGAAAGAGTTCTATCAAAAAAATGCAGTTGGTTCTTCGCAGATACTTAAAATGCGAGAATGCAATCAAGACTGGAGCACATGATAACTGCTTATAGAACTTGAAAAGTAAAAATCTAAAAGAACATTACGTGGAACCATCACATTGTCACTCTTACTCCAAGAAAAGCAGAAGAGGTTCTGCACTTGAAGCCAAAAGACATTAACACCTTAGCCAGAAATAGACACTACTCAAACTACTGCCTACCCTCTCGGAGAAATGAGTAAACTCAACAATATGTGGAAAAGGTTCATATATATTACATTAACATTCATAAAGTGCCAAAAAAGTTTTCCCTAGCCGTTCCAAGTGTTCTTTTTGTTGGAAAAGTTTTTTTCTTTTTTGCATGCAGTAGTAGAAGGCATCCGAGATAAAACAAAAAGAATTTAAGTTATATGCACTGATTGATGTAATGTAATACTTACACAAGGGTTAATTTCACTGATGGTCACTCAACTATGTTTCAATTTCACTAAAATCACTCAACTATTTTTTGTCACTTAAAAGTAACTAAACTTTCACATTATCACTTAAAAGTCATTTTGATTCAAACCCCTACCATAAATATGACATGGCATAAAATTTAATGAGAAAAATCCAAAAATAAATGCCACATAAGCTTAAATGGACCATACTCACTTTATATCCATTTCTCCCTTAATGTGATTTGACCCATTACCCAAATGGATTTCAATAGGGGGAAAACACACACCCCTAATAAAATTAGGCCTTGTGATTTTTTTGTGGGGTTTTTATCGTACAAATACAATATTTCTCTTGTCTAAACAATTGCAATAGGTTGTTTGTAAGTACATGTTTTGTGAAAATAGACTCTTATTAGCCTTATTATTATTCTTGTATGCTTATGATACATTAATATGTTATGTAAGATGAATACAATACTATTTTAGTTTCACTAGAAAATTATAAATATGTTATGTGAGTTGGGATACAGTAGTATTTTAACTTCGGTAGAGTTATAAAACGACTCAGATGGGGCATACAAACAAGAAAAGATTTTTTTTAGTATAGAATAATTATAAGTGGGCATTATGTAATAGAAAATGCAAGAATTTTGTTGTATAAGATAATCATTTTAAACTAATGTATTTTAATATTTTTTTATTGAAAGCATTTGGGTTATGGGTCAAATCACGTTGAGGAAGAAATGGATCTAAAGTGGGTATGATCCATTTAAGCTTATGTGGTATTTATTTTTGGGTTTTTCTCATTAAATGTTATGCCATGTCATATTTATAGTAGGGGTTTGAGCCAAAATGACTTTTAAGTGATAATGTGAAAGTTCAGTTACTTTTAAGCGACAAAAAATAGTTGAGTGACTTTAGTGAAACTGAAATATAGTTGAGTGACCATCAGTGAAATTAACCCATCAATGCAATTTAACCTCTTAGGGGTCGTTTGGTTTGAATACGTCTTATGGCGGGATAAGTTATGGTATAAGTTATGCTGGAATTAGTTATGCTGGGATTGTTTTTTATCTATTGTTTGGTATGTTGTATTAAATATGACAATTGCATAATTAGTAAGAAGAATGTATAAGTTATACCAGTGCTAATTACCCCACCCTCTATAAGGTATAAGTTATCCCGGTGTTAATTTTAATCCAGGGATAACTTATATCTGGTTTGCTAACCAAACAAAATATTAAAGTGGTATTAAATATTTATACAAGCACTATAGCTTCTTATACCTCATACCAAATGACACCTTATAGTTAAGATATCAATGATGTCATCAAATAGAGTTATCTGTAATTACCTTTTAGTTAGACATAATAATTGTATACATATGTTTTGCACAATTAGTGCCTAGTACTTGAACAAATTTTGATCAAGGGAACCCAGTGAACACAAGACAGCAAACCGAGATACATCATTAAGCATTCTCCCACCTTCAATTTCAAAAGGGAGAAAACCCTTTCCTTTCCCCAAATACAAATGAAATTTTGAAATAGAGAACCGAAGAAAACGAGATCAGAAGAGAATAAAACTGAAAAATGACAATAGCAATTTATCGAAGTTCAATGAAATGATCTCTTCTCCTACCAAACGATGACCTCAGAACTACGATCAACTAAATCGTGAAAAACATAAAACAATTAAATTAGGAAAAGAAGCGTGAAGATTACCTTTTCTAACCTGAAGGAGATTTCTCCCAGTTGAGTCTTGATGAACCAAAATTCCATCTGTAGCACGAAAATCCATAATATGGCAACTAACTTTGAATGAACTGAAAGCAAAAAAATTAAAAAAAAAATAAAGAAATTCTAATAGTAAAAGAAAAAGAAGCAAACCGGATATAGAAGATGAAGACGAAACGGCAGGCAAAAGGGAGAAAGAGAGAAGTAGAATAAAACAAGAGCAACAGTGTGTCCACTCCATCGTTTTAAATTAAAAATGAGAAGAAAATATGACAGACTAGACGCGATGCTGTCTTCACTGATAGTTCACAGATATAACTGATTCTCTTTTCTAGCTTGGGCTATTATTATCCAATTAATGGAGGTAAATGCTCATCTCATTAATAACTCTCATTAGTGAATGCTCTTACGTTCTTTCCACCTAATGCAACAGCAACGTCTGCTTCCGTGATAGATTAGTTGTTTGTGCCTCAATTTCTTTTTTGGTCTCTTCTTAAATTTTGCTGTGATTTTTGTATAATATAAAATAATGTCATTGAGATAAAAGTGAAATTATTTTTAAGTATAACAGGAATCATACTCTTTAAAATATACCGAAAAGAAACCATGAGCCTGTTTGGATTGTCTTATTTTAAGTGTTTTAAACCTAAAATAGCTTTTAAGATTGAATAAAGTAAAAAAAGAAAGTGCTTTTAATCACTTGTTTTTAAGCTAAATTAACAACAACAAAAAAATCAAAAACCAAAAGATAGAATTCCTAACGTATGACTTATGCTTAAAGTCACTTAAAATAAGCTCACCAAACGGGCTCAATGTCACATAAACTAGAGCATAAAAGTATTAAGTTAAAAATTGTTAATCCCTCTGTTTCAATTTATATGAACCTGTTTGATTGGGCACGGTATTTAATAAAAAATGAAACTTTTGAAATTTATGGTCCTAAACAGGTCAAAAAGTGGCCCAGAGTATATCTGTGGTTATAAAAGTTTCTTATTAAGGGTAGAATTGTAAGCTAAATTGTTACCAAATTTAGAAAAGAGTCCTTCTTTTTTTGAACAGACCAAAAAAGAAATATGGTGTAGACATATCAAATTTATTGGGTCTAATTCATACAAAATTTGAATTAAATTCAATTGGGTTAAATAATTAATTTGGACTTTACAAATTAAATTAGCCTGTTTTATCAATTTCAAGCCCAAGGTCTATTTCATCTTAAGGCCTAGGTTCATGCCATGTGTCAAGTGACATGGCATGTCCCGTCAACTCAAAGCCAACAAGATGACGCCACGTGTGAAATAATGTGGCAATCTCAGTGACCAATCAAGAGTTGCCAAGTGTCTAAAATGACATGTCTTGGCCAATCACAAGCAAGCTTATCACATAGCTTATATGATAAGTTTGATGACTCACATGAACCAGTCAGAATCAAGCAAGAGAGTTCATAGGTAGCTGGACTGTCCATCCTTTACCATTATAAATAGAGGGATGATGATAGGTTATAATTACGTATTTTAGTCGCTTATTACACTCTAATTTACTGCACTTTAATTGAGTTTGAGCTTTAATCGCTAGTGTCTTGCGTTAACTGTGTGTTTTATGCCTTGTATGAGTGATTCCGAGCTATATTGATGTTATGAAATGAATTCAAGTAATTTGAAGCTTTGAGGTCTGAGTAAAAGTCCAAGGAATTAAGCGGGGATCGTGTCAGGGGTCAACTTTGATAGTTAAGAACAAACGAAGACTCGAGTAGGCATATTGCGTACTGTCTAGTAAAATACACATAACCTTTTTCTCAAAACTCCATTTGGGATCCACAATATATGGTTGGAAAGCTAACTCAATGAGTTACAACTTTTATGTTTTACGTTTTTCCAAATACCAAACGGAACAGGGTGAAAAGTACGCGTCAATAGCGCAGCCGCGCTCGTCAGGCAGAATACTGGGCAATATGCGCGGCCACTAGCGCGGTCACGAGCACGGCCGCACTAGTCAAACCCGAGAAAAGTGTCCTTTTTCACATTGGAGAAGGTATAATTATTTGGGCTCAACCCTACTTGGTATATATACATGAAAAAACGGTATTTTGAGGGAGGAGACCAATTTTTGACACAGATTCGACCTAAGGAGGCAGAGACACAATAGGAGCAAGGCGGAGAATTCTTCTACGAGTTTTTCCTTCCTCTTCCTATTTTTCATTGTTGGTTATGACTTTTAGTATTGTAGTTTTACATACTATTATGAATAGCTAATTTGTTATCTAGAGTTTTTATAGAACCTTTTGTAGGATAAATTCTTGTTATGTTTTTATATAATTGAGCCGTAGCTTTTCTCTATTTGTTCAACTACGTTTATATTGTGGTTGGTTGAAGAGCTCTCAATTAGCTGTACCTATTTAGTATGTATTACTCGGGAGAGAGTGCATATTTAGGTAGTTGTTGAACAACATCGCTCCCGACGTATGTGAGGAATCAATAACCAAGGGTTTAAAGGCGGGATTAGGGATAACGAAACCTTGGGTGCGATCTAAGTGAGCTGTAATTAAAGCCAGCTATCATAACTCGGGAGAGTATGTCTAGTAAATTGTCGTAATTACTTGGGAGAGAATTACAACACGCAAAGCACTCATGATCGGTAGAGAATACTTAGGCGAAATTATAGAAGCCATAGCGGGAATGATTCCGACAATTGGGGAAATCATAACTCTAGACCTCCTTATTCTCCAACCCGTAGTATCTTTAGTTGTTAATCTACTAATTTAATTAGTTAGTTAATTAAATAAGAATCTTAATATTTATAACTTAAGAATTGTCCGAACTTGTCTTCTTAGCAATATTGAACAGTTGTAGCTAAGCCTTAGTTCTCTGTGGGATTCGACTCCGAACTTGTAAACCGGATTATATTTGCAACGACCACTTAGTCCTTTTTATAAGGCATAGTTGGGCGTGATCAAATTTTGGCGCCGTTGTCGGGGAACTAACAGTGTAACTGTAGGTGTACATATTGTTAGGTTTCAAGTTTGAACTTTTATTTTTATTTTTTGTATTTGATTTTTTTTCTTTTTTTTGTTTTACTTGTTGATTTTAAAAAAAATATGGCATCATGGAGTTATGAATGTTTTGATGTTGGTAATTCTACTTTTAATCCTCCTTATGCATATTGTGATGAAAATCACCCTTGGAAAAATTATCAAAATATTTCCGAGAGCGAATTATGTGCACCAACTCAATCTTATGTATGGAATGTGTGTGATATGTGTGGTGGTCAAGATGATCACTTTTATAGTTGTGCTTATATTTCTTATCTTTCCCCAACCCCTTATTATGATGATTCTACGTTTTCTTGTGAGGATAACAGGAACAAAGAACCTAGTGAAGCTGACCTAAAGAAGATCAAAGATATGTTAAAGTGCCTTATATAACAACAAAGTAAAATACAGTTGCAGGTAGAAAGGCAAGATGAAACTATTCACAACTTAGAAGCTCAAGTGAGTCAACTAGTTGAAGCTTTTAATGCTCAATATGTCAATATTATGGATATTAGCCAGGAGCAGTTTGCATTAGAGACGGAAATTGAAGTGCCAATGGAGGGGTCCAAAGTAGAACCCCAATACTCTAACCATCTAGAATTTGAGGATGCCGATGTTGAAGAAGTAATACTAGAGTCAACCAGAGACATTGAAGATGTTGATATCCAATTTTTTTCCTATGTATTTTTATACCCAAAACACTTCCAAAATAACATATATGTGCATATATAAGCACACCAAAAGGTTTTGGCATTTTAATGATTTCTAAACCAATTTATGGCCTATTTTTACACTATAAAATCCAATAATTACTCCCAAAGCTTGCCATTTTGGAGAATAATTTATTTTATTCTCATATTTACACCAAAATATATCCAGCATGATTTTTGCACATTTTTTTTACAAAATCGTTTGGTATTTTTAAAGCCAAATTGCATATAATTGCAATACTAGCCTCTTTAAGATTTAATAGCATTTTATAATTACAAAATTGATCCCAATATTTTCGAATTAATATTTATATATTATTAGTTGACTCAGTGCCTTTAATTTGCTTTTAAAACATTTTTTACTATTTTTATAAAATAATAAAAGGAAAAATTGGCTATTTCAATTGTAGCCTCAATTCATTTCAATTATAACCCAAATTCCATTTCAATTTCAGCCTGAAATCAGCCCAATTTCGAACTCAATTGGACCAACCCAATTCATTCAAACCCAGCCCCTTGACCCGTTTAATCCAACCAGCCCGAAAATCCTTTTAATCCAGGCCATTGATCATTTTGATCAACGGCCACGAACGACCCTTTCCTTTTTAATTCTACCAACCCCTAACCCTAACCCTCATTTCTCTTAGACAGTCGTTTCTGAAACCTCTTCTCTCTCAAAATGCTCTTAAGCACTCGAAACCCTAATCGCCTCCCTCGTCTTCTCCGACCATTATCTCGCCGGAGTCCATGGCTTTTCAGGCCATGGACGACCTGTGCTCACCTTCCTTCACTCCTAAGCCATGGGTGTTCGAGATTTCGAGGTTTGACCTCAACGGCGTTCGTTCAGATCTTCTCAGATCTGTGGTTCTATGGCTCTCCGGCCTTGCTCCGACGTATTCAAGCTTTAGAAGCCTAGCCATAGCCATCTCTGACTCAAGACCAGACCTTTTCCAAGCCTTCTCATTTCTAGGGTTTCGGAGAAACCCTAAAGCTATTCGAGGTTCCTTCCTCTTTTATTTACTTAGATCTATGATGAATCTATGCTGTATTCAACGTTTTAAAGCTTTTCCCCAATTTTCTTTTCAAAATTAGTTTGCTTTCAATTTAGGGTTTTCGAAAAAAATCTCAAAATAACTTCTGACCCTTCTTCTTCTTCTTCTTCTTCTTCTTTTCTTTGTGTGAATCTGTCTGTACCACGTCCTTATGAGTTTTTCTCTTGTGTTCTTATGTTTGCCATACGATGTATGTTCTTCTATTTTTGTGTTCTGTTCTTCCCTCTACTAGGTTCTATAAGCATGATTTACATGTCTATCTTGTATGTTCCTCTACTGTATTTTTTACTGAGCTTTTGCTCCTTGCTTACCTTTACTGGGCTTTGTTTGAACCCTAAGCATGTTTCATCTACTATTTTCCTAAACCCGTATCGCTTTTTCTTTTCTGAACTTGTTTGAGTGACAAGATTTGCCTAAATGTATTCCCTGTGTTTCAAACTTATTGTTCTCTCTGTTTGTTTCTCATAAGTCTCTGAAAGAGACTACTGAGTCTGTTCTATTTGTTGTTTTCTCATCTATGCATCTTATTCGAGTTAGAAACCCTAGTATTTGAGGGGTTTTTGGCAAGCTTGACTTTGTGTTTGGACTAGGGGTCCATTCAGAACCCTGACTCTCTTTCAGACTCATTCTGAGTCTGTGAACCTAACCTTCTTGGGTA